AATTCCCACCAAAACCCCTTCTGGTGTTAATTGACTTTCAGAAACATGCACGTGGCTCCACATATTAATGGGCTACACTTGAATTTTGTATGGATATGAATGTTGTGCGCCACAAAAACCAGAAAACAATTCGGTGACTACGAAAGCTTTTTTTCTGATGGAATTGTCATGAGTCATTCCTGATCCAAACAAATTATGATGGAAATATTATGATCCACTTATTATGCAAACAATACTTTTCAAATCTGCGGTTCTCATTTCAAAAAATATTTGCGGGAGGAAAGATGGTCAAGCTCTCCTGCGCGATTGACTAGAAACGGGCTCTCTGTGCGAGTGGAGGAGAGCGCCTCGGTGAATAGCTTGAAGAAGGCAATCCAAGCGGAGAAGCTGACGATCACATGTGATGCCAACGAGATGCAGCTCTTCCTGGCCAAGAAGGGTGGCGCGTGGCTGACGGAGGCATACGTGAATGATGGTGTGAGCGACACTAATGATCTGAAGCCATCACAACATCGTCACGATTGGAGACGCTGAATGTGTGCTCGAGCTGAAACATTACCAAAAACAAGGGAGCAGATTCAGGACAATTGTAATGCGTTCTGCTAGAAGATCCTGGACAAAACCGACAGTATACCTGAACTTCGTTGGATACTCCGTTCATTTGCGTAGGAGGTTATCGAGCATGCGGAAGCCTCAGTTGGTGTTTGCTTTGAGCGGACCGTGGTTCTACTGGCCTACTACTTTTATCGGAGATGATTATCAGCGCTTGTATCAATACTTTTACATCGATTTCGAAGGTGTTCGATGAAGGATGTACTAGCAGGCAAACCCAAAAGTGACATTCTGAACTACAAAGCGACGGGTTACACTTAGGATAATCTATGGACCTACGGATTCTTTCTCGCCTTGCCGGAGTATTAATATAGTTTGTAAACTACCGATACGCAGTAATGATGTATAATGAAAAGAAGCTGTCGATGCAAGTGAACAAGTGAAACGGCGGCTTTCCGTGAAATACGGATAACTCAGGGCAGGGCAAAGCCTTACTTCGTGTTAGACCAACTGAAAACTACCACATATCAAGACGATGGCGGGGAGAAATTGACAGCTTTCCAGTGTTTCCCGTGCGTGTGGTCTAGTTCTGGTCGTAATAAGTACGAACTTCTAGATAGCCTCTTTAACCCAACCGTCTGGGGGAGCCCCTAAGCAAGGTCACGTTTGGACGACAGTTATGGCTCGTTCCCCTCCGTATCAAGCAATTGATTATGAGGATAAATCAAGCCAAGATGCTTGGGTTTGAATGCAAGGAAAATATCCTGTGTTGAGCAGCATCATGGCGAATTCTAGCGGGCATTTCGACAGAAATTTTATTGATAGCGTTGTCGACTACGCGATGACAAATCAAGGTTACGTCCGCCTATGTGATTGCTGGCCTATTGGATCAGGTGCATCTGAAGATGCAACAGGTTAAGTACTTCGTGGCAAACAGCAAGGCATGGATGCGCAGATGATGGCGATATCGAAAAAAGATGTTGAACCAGATGAAGTCTCCACCACCTCGAATAAAAGTGAAAATGGACGCTGGATCCTGTTCAACGCATTTACACTTTCCTAGTTTGGTGGGTTGTCATCATATCGACGTAGATACAATCTACACTGAGTTGCGCGTCGGCTATGCGACGTGGCTCACGTCGTTCTGTTTTCCGACGGTCGAGGAGGACATGCTGCTCTACCTCGCTGGATTAGGTGGGAAGGCTTATGGAATAATATTAATATCTGTTGCTTAAATTCTGGACGCCTGTTGTCTATCAACCACTGCTGTATT